GGGGTACATTATCCATAGAGTTTCGGACCGTGCACCACTGGTCCTCGGGTATTTATTGGTTATCAAAAAAAGTTCTACCCAAAAAGTTGGTGCTGTCCCTAAGGATGATAAAAAAACTTAGGGTCTTGATCAATAAGTGCATACAGACATGTGAATGTTGGTGGTCATCTGATGTAGGTGATGTGGCTGAATTTGTCAACTGCCCTGAACACAGTTGATTCACTGTTCTTCTAAACATGGTATAAATCCTTAATGTGGAGTCTTCTTTTTGGTTTTGCAGGGCCTTATGTTATGTTACCAAAACTATTGACTCTTTGCTTTCATCTTCTCTTTTATAAATACTGGGTTTGTGAATTCATTCCTGTTACATGAGGAGATCGTGAAGTAATTGGGTGACTAACGATTTCCAGAAGGACATGTTTAGAGAATATTGGTTAGGTGATTGCTACATAGATTTTGAGTTTGGCTAGTAAAGGACTTCTCCTGTCTTCTTGTGCACAGCAAGAGATAGTACACTTCTAAGCACTAGAGCAATCTAGCGCTTTCAAAGGAAAATTTGTTTTGCTAATTAATCTTCTGCATCGAGTATTCAGCCTTAACACTCATATCAGCATATTAATTTCCATAGCTCTTATTTGATATCAATTACAAACTTTTGAATGGTGCAGTGGACAAGCACAATCTTTATCCTCCTGCTCCTCCCTTGACTCGTTACAAGGAGACGGCATTTCCGAGCGCCAAGAAAAAGTTGGTTGAATCTGTTGTTCTTGATAATGCGGTGAATAAGAAGTTGGACGCCTTGACAACTTCCAAGCTTTGTGTCAGAATGAACACCCTTCAAGTGAGTGCAAGCTTCTACCATGTGATGGTTTTCTAACTTTCAGTTGGCTTACTGAAGAAGATGAGTGGTTTTGCTGTATTTGTTTTCATTTTGTCATCCATCCGGTGTTTGTATATAGTCTTGGGTAATCCTCCCCTCATGAGCTAGGTTTTAAGTTGAGTTAGGCCCAATGTACATCTTTCGTATGAGTTAAACTCATCTAGCCGTGCAAGGGGTGTCAGAGTATATCACATTGGATGAGGAAATGAGTTGTTGTCTCCTTGTACGGTCTACGACAATCCTCATCTCATGCGCCAGTTTTTAAGGTTGCGTTAGGCCCAAGATCCATTTTCTTTGGATTTACATCTTTAGAATTGTATATTTTTTTATTTTTTTATGTGATTACCCAGATATCTCTGAGGGCCAATGGCGCACGATTAGAGACTTGGCAGATAATGGTCCTGTCTCTCTATCCTTCTCCACTTAAATACCAGGATTTTGTCTGTGGCAGGGGTCGAACTCGTGACATGCCCTTCACCCACACATCATGCGTCCCACTCTTACCACTAGGCTATAACCCCGGGGGCAATTGTATATTTATTGCTAAGACCTAGTCAGATCGTTCATTTGAAAGTGGACATCTCCCAACAAATTGACCTCGTTATAACAACTCCATGTGAGAAAGGAGTTGTCACTAGTTTTTTTTCAGTGTTCTTGTGATATCCCGTTCCACATTGATGATAGTAGCTTTGGAAATTAGCTACTAAAGCTTACTTGTTGCTTCACTTGGAATACATTTGGTATCTCTCAGGATTCTTTTGTTTTAGATTGAGATTTCTATGCCCATGTAGGAATAAATTGTGAGATACAAAAAGCTCTAGTTTTGAAGAAACTCTAATTTCCTTCGTAGTTAAATTTTTTAGTATTGGAATGAAATGAATGTGAATGGAGTGGTATGGATTCAAAGGATTCATGATAATGACCCTAACTAATTTTGGGTTGAGGCTCAGTTGATTGATGGATTGTCATTTTGAAATCTAAAATAGCTTTCACTGTCTGCTAAATCTGCATTTATTTGTTGCTAGTTCTTATTTTAGTTTTATGAAGTGAGTTGAAAAAAGTGCAGTCTCTAGAAACATTGAATCCTTCAGATGTGGATACTCTGGTATACAACCAATGCACACAGGCCAATATTGAATAACAACCTCTGAACTTTCCTGATGTTGCAACTTTGAATGGTTGTGGCACAAAGGTTTCTTGACCATATGTGATATTGTTATCCTGAACCACTAATAATGTGTCGTTTCCGATTGTTTCGTGATCATCATGGTCTCCAGATTTGAAATATTTAAATGGATATGAACTCTTATAAAGTTATGAAGGATTTATCGTCATCTTTAAAGATCTACAAAGACTCAGGCTTAGGGGCACGACAATATGCATTGTGATGATTTGAGGAAAATTGTGATGTACCCATTTTGAGACAAAATATTAATCAAAGATGTGGGTCCATTTATAATTTCTCTTTCCTTATCAAAAATAATTAATCAAAGATGTCAGAGTGACCCAACACGTCAATTTCACGCTTACAAATGAGAACAAAATTCTTTATTTTTTCATTTGATTGTTACACGATATGGGATTCAGTTTTTGGCCCAACTTATGCTAAAATCTCTTAAGTTACTTGATATTGTATAGCTATGTCCCCCTATAGCCCCGTCCCTCCCAATCCTTTCACCTAGAAACGGAAAAGAAAATCTAAAATTTTAATGTGATGTCTGGCAAAATTTTCACATTTCTTGATCAAAGGATATCCATACATGCTCCTACTTGGGATCCTTTTTTCTTTCAATATTGTCATTGATTCTCTAGTTTGAGCTGCTTACCTTTTCTTTTATAACTTACTATATAACTGTGGAAGACTCATTTGTTCAAATTTACTTATATCTTCTCTGCTGCTTCTTTTCCTTGCTTTTGGTGGTTCTCTGTAACGTTGTTTAGTCACAGAAACTACTATTTTTCCTGATTACTTTCTCATGCAGTATATGCAGAAGAAAATTTCCACCCTTGAGGATGGTATTAGGGAGTCGTGGTCGGCTGTTAGACTTCTTAAAGATCAGACATGCCGTAAGTTCAGCATCTATCTGTACTTTTACAAAGTATAGTTTAGCATTATTTGAAGGTAGTCCTATTCTCTCATCCATATTCTTCGGAAGTGTTGTAGTTAGTTGCTTACTTAATTATCGGAGGATATCTTATACTGAGTCATTTGAAAGTTACCCGTGCAGATTGTAGTGATTTATAAACTTACCTCAACCTTTTAGGGGTTTTCTTTAGATACTAGTTAAGTGGTTTATTCTGTCTGGTATTTTCTCTCGTGCAAGGAATGCAAATTTCAGTTTAAGCTTCATACATTTGTCCACTTATTCGATGAGTTGAGGAATCATCTGAGGAATATCTACCTTTGAATGGCTATCTTACTGATGTTCATTCTTGTTACCTTCAGCTGATGTGGATCCTCGTTGGACTTCGAATGGGATTTTGGAAATGTGTAGCGAGTCAGTCGATGAGCTTTTTGTTGCCACCTTTGACTGCATCCGAGATAGCGCCGCTGATGCTATCAGGAAAACTTGTGAGTTAGTGGGTAAGTACGCTCTATCCTGGTTTTATTTAGTGGTAGCGGACTTACACTTAGTCTGTAGTGTTTAACAGCATATTGGCATCTTCCAATAAATATGACAATGTAATTCCTAGTGTGGTCAGTGTTCAAGGAATTGCTATGTGGGTCTTCTTATATGTAACAAAGTTTCCTTTCGTAGCATTTGATTTCTGCAATAGAAGGTGCTGATTAGATGTTGTTGAGTAAACGTTATTGAATTATTTATCCAAAAGGTAATACAAAGGTTATTGTATCACCATATCAGTCCATGAAAGTCTATTTGCTTGCTTCTGTTCTGATTTGGGTACTGGAGCCTATGATGGGGAATCTATCTTTTCCTCTGTTAACCATCATAGACATGCTCCTGTGCTGATCTGAGGGGGGAGTATTTTGCAGAACATGTTAAGAGGAGGCTGTTATCTCTCTTTCAAGTCATGAAGACTTTTCAGTTGAAACATGGAGTGAAAGTTATGACACAAACATATCTTGGTTTTATTGACAAATAACTTTGACGTACAAGAGGGAACTATGAAGTATTCATGCTGACTTTTCATCAAATTTAACTGAGAATCTTTGAAAACTAAGGATAAGGTTGCCCGAGCCTAACTAGGTGTCTAATATTTAGGGATCTCCCTGGGCATACAGTATCCTGACGAATGCAAAGGTTGGCAGCAAGTTATTGAGAACATCCGTAGGCCATTATTACCCCTAAAAAGTTTAGTCGAACAGCCTCAAGTTTTTGACTGTTGGAGCTCCTTGCAGTATTAGGGAATGCACCTTCTCAAAGATCTCCAAAGCGTTTATCATGCTCGTGCGTAAACCATTTTTGGATTTAGCTATCTATTTAATGATTTCCTCTCGAGAAGAGGCTTTATCTTCTGAATATTCAACTTGCGACCGAAAGCCTCCATAGGTGCTGTTGGAAGGTTCTTTTGGGCATATGCTTTATAAAGTGCTTGAGCAAATTGAATTGACAAGGGAATTCTTCGATGGTTTGGTGGCTTTTGGTAGTTAAAATATTGAACGACCCAATTGCTATAAAAGTGATGGTTACAGTTTGCTTCTTGATCGTGCTTTGAGTTTTTGGTTTATCATTCTTTTTTCTTTTCTTTCTATTATAGAGTAATGATGTCCTGTTAAATCTTAAATGCCACGATTAGTATGTCCAAATGGTCATTTGTTTATAAAATGGTAAAATTGGCATCTTGCAAACAAGTGGAATCAGTCAAAGCCTATGTTTGGTGCTTCAACTTAAATTTGTGAAAGCTTGATTTTAAACGAGAGAGTTTCGTGTGTGCATTCAATGTGAACAATCAATAGAACTGACTGCTCTCACTGTTTACTTAATTTTCTAGATAGACGATCTTGGTATGCTCAGAAGCTCTTTAATGGAAA